TCCTATGTTTACTCAAAGAAACTATATTTAAAGGGTGGCCAAAATTCTTATCGGTATGTCCTTCTGAACTTAAACAATTCTGGACATACCGTGAGGACTTGTCTGTTGAGAATGGTGTAATTTTTAAAGGTCGTCGTATATTAGTTCCTCATAAGTTGCGTAATCAAATGTTAGATATTATACATCAAGGGCATTTAGGTTCTGAAGAATGTTTATTTTGGCCCGGTATTTCAAATGATATAAAAGATCTTACAAGTAATTGTTCTACTTGTTTACAGTTTAGTAAACAACAACCTAAGGAATCTTTACTGCCTCATAGTGTTCCTAGTTACCCCCGGCAAAAGCTAGTCACCGATTTATTTGAGTATATTATAATAGAATTCACTATTTGTTAGTTGCAGATTATTTTAGTAAGTTTCCTATTGTTCGTAAATTAGATCGTACTACTTCATTATTTGTAATTAATCATCTTAAGTCTATATTTGGTGAATATGGCATTCCCCAAACCATTATGTCTGACAATGGACCCCAATATAATAGTTCTGAATTTAGTAAATTTTGTCTTGAGTGGGGGATAGAGCACATAACAAGTTCTCCTTTATATGCACAGAGCAATGGTTTTATAGAAAGAATGGTGCATACTGTAAAGAATCTTCTTAAGAAATCCATAATATAAGATAAACCAATGTCAAGGTTATGTGTTCTTAGTCATGGTTCGTTACTACAAGCGCACGTTGTTAGCGCTACTCAATCCTATGTTGAAGGTTATGCCGTAAATGAACCATAGCACACTCTAAAGATCTAGTTTTTATAGAAGCCAACCAGACAATATATATTCACCCATAACCAAATGAGAACGGGCGTCCGGACATAGACGGGCATGAGTGACGTCATGTTATGTCCTCGTGAAATTATGGGCGTAATAAACTACAAGTTTTATGACTCAGCTAATTACATTATGCAGCGGCAATATTTGCCGTAACTGTTCCATTTCTTTAGGTTTCTAATAATGGCTGCACACAATAAGTATCAAGTAATTTATTTCGAACGGGATATATTTATGTTGCCCAACTGATAGTTTACTCATAACGAGTCGTTCAAACTATAGCAGTCCACATTACATGTTTCAACAGGAAGTATAACAACCATGTAACCGATTTATTTATATACATTGATATTTAGTTTTTAAATTAGAAATATTATATATTTATCCTTTACCTGTAACCAGCGATAATATTAAAGAGATGTTGAAATTAGACGAACGGATCTTCTTAGTGCTGTTTGTTCCATTCGTGATTTACTTTTATAGTATTCAAATTATAACTACCCGGGTATGAGTATTCAATACGGAAATTATTACGTATAGATCGGCACACATCAGCTTACTATTGCTAACTCGGTAACATGAGCTAACTATTGCTAACTCGGTAACATAGTTGGGTAAGTTCGTCTACAATATTTTTATAGAGCAAAGCAGTGCGCAGCGCGGGGGGGGGGGGGCGAAGATGGGGGAATACCCGAGAAGCTCTGATATTATATCATACATGTATTTCTGCTGCTTACATGCATAAGATTACTGTAGAGTGGGGCCAAAACGACGAAAATGCTTGGTACGCTTGTACACTGTCAAATTGGGTACAAGAACTATGGTGTTAAGAAGTGTAAACTCTACACCACAGTTAGTGTTTTAAAATGTAAGGCTTTCGCAAGGGTAACCATTCTAAAGAACTACATCCAACGTCTGTAACCAATATTCATGACTACTAAACCCCTTCAAGGGTGTAATTGTGGGGTGTTTTGGATTAGCTACACCAATACGAATATTATACTGCAATTGCACCAAAGGGTGTAACTATTATTTAGGAATAAATCCTAAAACAGTGTTAATTTTACACCGTTTGTTGCATTGGAAAAGTCTAATCAATATTCATGACCGTAGTATACACGAGAATGGGTGCAATTGTAGTCGTTAATCGGTGGTTTGGATGAGCTACACACACGCGTTTTATTGCATTTACAGGTGTAATTATTATTAGGGAAACATTCCTCCTAATAAATGTATGTTGCGTTGAAAGGTGTTTTTGTACTCTAATTTGGATGTTTTTTGTTTTTTGGGGTTTTTTTGGTTAGTTTTTTTTTATTTTATTTTTTGGGTTTTTTTTTTTTTGTTGTAAAATATGGCGTTAACACTTGTGTGTATACAGGGGGTATTTCGGGACCTCACGACCACATCCTTAATGTTTGTGAGGAACTGGTTCATAATTGTCTAGCGAAAAATTTGTACATTGTCAGCTCTTTAATGTCGAGTATAATGCTGCAAAGAGAACGGAAGTGAGGCAGTCGCAACATTCATCATTTGACAAGAAACTACGAGTATTACATTATCGGACACAAGGAGTCTTGTGGAGCCCAACCCCTTTCCTTTCAATATTTTGCTGATTACAAGATTAGTGTCTAATCTGTTCTGCGCTCGGTGCTAGCTTTGTATTTGTAATCTTTCTTACTGATGATATTGTGTTTGTCATTCTAGTAATCTAGATCTGAAAACAAATCTTGGTACTCTACCAACCTCATCAAAAGACGTTTTTACTCACTTGGAAATGACAATTAAGTTATTTGTAGATTTGTATGGTTTCAAAATTACCTTATAATTCATATCGTCACTATTAATACCTCAAATATTTTTTTTTTACTCTTGATTGATTATTATTCCGTCTTTATATGAAGCTGTATAGTTTGATCGTATTTGAATAAAAATAATTTATGTCTGGGATCATGGATTACCTCTTGTTGTCGACAATGTTTGTAGTGCTAGGTGTCCGCACAGGGGTTAATTGTATTATATAACTTATTTTAGAGTGGTTACTCATAACAAATAACCAATGTAAGTCTTACAAAATATTATCATGAATTTATAATCTCATTTCCTTTTTCATAACACCTGAAGTTAAATTATTTTAGCGTGTTTACACTTAAGGACACTATATCTTTATTAATTATTCTTAATTCAGATGATGTGTATAAATGAATTATTCAACTAAGTTGTACCGATATGTATTATTAATTTAAAGAATTATATTCATTGTAAATTAATACATATTGTAGAATTGCCCAATAGCAGTTAAATTTCGATCAGTTTGGTGGATATTTGTCAATTTAATGTCGTTGCAAAATAATGCGAAGTAGCCGACAGCCCATGTATTATTATGTAATCGTGGCCAGATTAAACGCCCTATACGTATTATCATAGAGGCCTATAGCTAACTTCAAGTCCGAACTATGAAGTCGTTTGTTTAAAATAAATAACAGTAGGACGTTAAACCCCATTTCATTTAAAATAAATATACAACCAAACACTTTTCTACAACCTGTAACAACAAAAAAAAATATTAAAAAATGCACCCGTTTCGGTGTAATAATAAATATGGAAGTGTAATTTATAAAACATCCTTGAGGTGCAATGACTCAAGGGTGTCAAACTCCTTTCGATTCAGGGGCCACGTAAACTAAACTTTTACATCAAGTGGGCCGGAGATATACATAATATCAAGATAAAGAACATTTTATTGGTTTATTTTACTAAAATCGTTACATATTATACACAGCATTCTCTTGTATTACATACTGGGGGTCACGGTGGCTAAGTGGGTAAGACGCTGACTTGCTAGCTTGGAGGTCGGATGTCCGATCCCTCCATTGGCCGAGAAAATTCAAACAGATATTCCGGCGTGGGTACCCCTTGTCAGTGATGCAGGACGGATCGAGGGCCTGACAAGGACACAGTCTAGTCGTTCGGCTGGGACGAAAACCCGAGGTCCCGTATACACATTGGCGTGCACGTAATTATAGATCCCTTGACAGTTGGAGTAGTCCGTAGTGCCGCTGTCCGGGCAAAATTTCCCTCATTGCACACTGTATGGTGTATGCCCGTCTTCATTAGCACACTTCGGAGCAGAACAGTAGAACGTTAAACATCATTTCATTTCATTTCATTTTATATTACATACAACTTAGATATCTATGACATACAGTACAGACGTCAGAGTTTTACCGAGACCCGAAAACAATAATAAATGATTTCCACGTCTAGTTTCGAAGAATTATCGACGTGTCTGCAGTTTGCCGAAATTTGTTCCACAGGCTGCACATTTAAACCCTTGGCGGGCCGCATGTTTGAAACCCCTGTCTAGACCCACGCTGCACAAATCGGGCGAAAAACAAATGAAATTGGGTTATCTGCACCTACTGGACTAATCATATCATGCTATAATGATATTTTTTATCTCTATGGTTACGTTTTCAAGGGGGGGGGGATTTTATCCATATAATGATCGTTTCCTTGCACGCTATACACAGGTGGACCTTGGCATTTCGTACTACTCAAACAACTATAAAGCACACTTTCCTTGCAATATTCTGTAAATAATCTGCTCTTGTGGTTGAGGCCCCGTGTACACGTTGGCATTTGGAATTCGAAATAAGGGCTCGGCCAAAAAATTCACAATAAAAAAGCAAGCCTGGAATGAAAAAAGAACAAGGTGTAATCATGTACCTACAGTGAGGTTTGAAAGAACCCATGACAGTTTGAATCAACAAGGTGAATGTGGGTAGAGCTGTTCATGTAGTGGCATTTTTTTTCGTTATTAGTCTCAAATTATGGCCAATAGTGGTAGGCCTACTGTCAATGACTGATCGAGCTGCCTTCTACATTCCTTTCTTCAATTTGGGAAAACACTATTTATAGACAAAAATTTCCTTCCCAGAAATTAAATTCGAGCTAACTTTTAAATACACTCTAATGTTGATTTTCAGAATATTATCTTCTACACATAGCAGTAAAAGAGACGCAGTATTAGTCTATTAGTCAGGTACATTCCATGTGAAGTGGATTGGGATTCGTTACTTTTGTTCATTCGCACATCTTTAGGATTCTCGCATGGTGGACCGAATGTATTAATACACGCAATACCGCTTCCGGTTAACATGCGCAGTCGAATTAATAGAGGCTTCCTTTTCTGTGTTGACGAATAACTATCAGTTAGTGGATTATTATTGAATAATTAATTTAATCTTTCTTACTACTGAAGTTTAGTTCGATTATAAGATCCATGGCTCGATAATGAGTATTAAAGAGGTAAAAGGGTTCTACGGATTAATCATTTATATTTATACGTCAGTCTTTTGCTACATTTTGAATTAAATCTTGGCTTGTTTGATTTTTGTCAAGAAAAGATACTGTGTGACTATGATGAGTATGATAGTATTGATAGTGATAGCACAACCCCAGCTTGCGTTTCAAGAACAGCAGTCCTTCATGGTTATAAAATTGTGCGGGAGCCATAAAAAGCTCCTGATACCTTGAATATATGCAGTTTAAAAGTAAACAAAAACTGAAAGTAGTTTATTAATCTCAATATCTAGGAGAGCGATGACTCCTTCGAAGGAAAGCTGACATGCGTCGAGAGGAGCAGGAGCGAAAGCTCCCCTTAAACGTGAAGGACTGGAACAGGCTACTTTTCTGAAAGTATCTGGTTATGAATTCGAAGCTATACCGGAGTTAGATAACAAACCTGATCTCTCAACCCTCAGCGTTTCAAGATAAGGGTTGGTGCTATTAACTTCAACGTAGCACATGCGGGGTCGATTCGCACCCGGCATTTGTAAACAAAATTGACAATATTTTTAATCAAAACAACGATTGATTATTTTTATTTATAATATATCTGCCACACCCAACTACAATTAAGCATAATCCTACCTGAAACGGGTACAAATCGTCGTATTTAAAATCGAGGCGTTCAGCCGTTACTAAGAAGATTGCCATCTTTTTAAATGGGATACGTATGATGCTGTCATCATGAAGGCGAGGCTAAATATAAGGCTTTTATAACAGCCAATCAAAAAGGCAATCTAAAGCACTGTAACTATGAATGGATTTCGATGGCGGTGAATGTCAGACAAAAACAACGTTTCATTAATTTAAACGCGAATATTTGGAGTTAGGCGATAGTTGTGCCACTACATTGGCCTTTGTAAGTTTAATTAGTCATAATAACATAAACTTATATTATTTTAAAGATGTTACATGCATTAATAAAGAAATTGAGTTTGCCACTTGGAACTAAAGGCATCCAATCGTAGCTAAAAACAAAAACATCAGTATATCTCAACGTTATTAGCTACATTCTACCGTACATGTAGTTTGAATGGTTCACATCCTCAAGTATCTTGCTAATAAAAATCGGCATTCATGTTTGACTAGTTCAGCTCTGAACATCATTACACTCGCCCTGTACGTTCAGGAACCGTCCCATTGAATCCTTGTCAAAAAAAATTTACTTCCCAGTAAATTTTACTGAGCAACTTTTTACTGCTAAATGGTCGCATGTCAGACCTTGCTTACCTAGCAAGAACCAGTATGAGCGACACAACACGCTGTTAAAAAATACATCCCCGTCTTCTAGACGACTTGGTCGATGCCATTGAATTCTAAATATAGGGTAACGCACAAATTTATGAACTCGGCCATATAAGATGAAATGAAATTTAGGTAAATCTGGGGGAAAAAAATTGGGATTTTTGAAAAGAATTGATTGTAAATTTTTGTAAATGTAATTGGGCTAGGCAAAGCAATAAATGACTGAAGATTCTCAACTTTTCAAAGCAAGGTCTTATTTTCTCACTAAGATGTTCCTTTACATTGTTCAGGCGTTCACAGGGACCGTTTAACAGTAAAAAGTTGCCCAGTAAAATTTAATAAAATTACGGCATCGCTCACAGCATTCCAATTCGAATCTATTTAAAGTGTGTGACGTGTGCTTTATTTTAGATGTGTATTTTTATTAAGGGAGTTGGATGGCCGAATGTTTAGCATGTGTGCGCTGTATCATAAGGTCTGTCATTGAGTCAACTGGCTTGGTTTTGATTCCTTGGTTCTGCGTGACAAGGAATAGGGTCGCCTGTCCAACCACTAGGATTTTCTCCGCGTCCTCCGGTTTCCTCCCACTGCTAAAGACCCCTACACGCAAGCTAATTTATAGCGAATTATTGAAATAAAACTGAACCATACTGCGTTATAATGTGGTCAACTGCCAATTTCTTCGTTATTAGAATGTTTTAATTATGGCCTAGGAGATTTATAAAAATAAGCCGAAAATCTAACTGATATTTGGAGTTGTTTAGTTTCAGTCCTCTCTCTGTCTCTTGTGTTCAAAAACTAAGGACGGCACATGCATACAAGCGTTAAATTAATCGTTATGTTGACGTATGTTAAAAAACCCGATGAATTCTGAATTAATTATATTTTCCAGGGCAAAATTTCAAACTTAATGTAACAAAGAAACATAACTCGTTTTGTCATTAAGAGTTAACTCCCTTGAGAATAGGTGCCGTTCATTTTTTCAGCAATTTAAAAGCAAATGTGTTTATATTAGGTACCAGCAGCCACCCAGTTATCTGAGTGGAAAATCTCAAAATTGTCCAAAAGTAGCATCTTTTCAACATCTTGTAGCTTTTTTATTTATTTATCTATAGTGTTAAAAATTATACTGGAAATATAGTGAAATCTCCGACTTTCCAATGGTGTTATTATTGACTTCCAAACGATACTTTATGAAACAGAGTAATTAGTATAACACTGATTAATCTTGTTAATTAGTGCCGCGGGTCGGCATCATGCCGACTTTCTGTCCCAACCTCATCTCGGTAGGTGAATTCAAAACTCGTGCGTTCGCTTGCCAATAACGAAATACATTTTCTATAAATAGTAACAAAAGCAGCAAAAAATGACCTTTCTTATGATGCCAAATACGTGTTAATTTTCATTTTTTCATTCACTTTAATTATTAGTTAAAAATTTGTTCCAATTTCAAGGCTAATTTTAGTGTCTTGGTACAATATATAGATATGGCAAACCTCATACCAAATTAATCCTCATTCAATTTTCTTTCTAAAAATAATACGAAACTGTGGCTATCTTTGCTGGCAACAGTCCGCAAAGCGCGCAAAATATAGTGGTACAAGACAATAAACGTAAATGCAGCAGTTAACTGTACACGCACCATGACGAAAATTCCTGAGCCCATAGAGTGTTTATCAGCGTCGATATTCAGCAAAATAGGTAATTTTGTTAATAGTTTTTATATGTAGAATGTTACTGAGATATTAATCTTTATACGTATTATTTTTTTTTCTACCGATGGTAGGGTGACCCACCATAAATAAATATCTCCAAATATCTCGACAATTACGCCACAATATTTATATATATGCCAAGCCTCAAATCAGTTTCACACAATTATAGTCACTAAATAAACGATCATGTTGTACTTAATAAGCTATGACCATTAATCATCTATAAATAATAGACTGAAAACTGGTTCCAAGTTGCGTCCATAACATCCAGACACTTTTGAGTAAAAGATAGGTTACGTGCCCTTGTTTTGAAATTAGTCTCGCTTAACCAGTCTATCGACCATTCTACGTCTGATTGACAGGTCGGGATAATCAAGACTACTTTTTTACGAAACATAACAGAAAGCTAGAACAAGAAATTGAATTTAGAAATAAGCACTTTAGACAACTCAACAATTGTTTTAAGAAACTTGTAAAAGTAAAATGAAACTACTGCTAGTATCATGTTCCTGCTAAAGAAAGTGATTAAGAGATAGTATTTGTACTAAACCAAAAAATGCCGCTCTTAACGGTACAGTTAATGATAAAGCAATTTAAAAAATAAAACAAACGTAATTACTAAAGCTGCTGTAATAACCAAGAAGCTAAATTTTACTGCTATTCAAAATCGTCAACAATAGATTTTTTACGGCTGTAATAGTTGATATATTTGTAGAGAATTGCACTTGCCATGGCTATTTATCGACTCAAAGCGAGTGCGGGGTAGTCAGAAATCAGTTCGAGACACGCAACTGAAGCGTGCACATTTAGCCGTGTCGAGACCAACTTTCTGTAAAGTGCACGGGTCATCCTACCGATGGGTTAAATTAGATTGATTATTTTTTGTTTATTCTTTTGGTATGCAGGTCAAACTGTTTGAACGGCATTCCGATGCTAGCACACTCAGTTGTCGTGAAAATGCAAATTAACTAAAAGTATTTTAATGAAAATGAATCTCGATATTGAATTATTACATATTAATCAATCATGTAATTTATTATAAGGAATGTTCATTGAGTATTTATATGATATTTTTACGTTTTAATCCACTATTCTGCTATGCACTGGTTAATTGGGCATAATAAAATCATGAGTCATGACGTAACGTTATTTAAACATATTTGGTCCATATTGGTTGTTAATTGGACTATTGACAAGTCATAATTTAGAACAAGAATTTGCTTTCTTTACAACAGTGAGTCGTGCGATTAGCTCTAATCAAACGAAACACTTCGAGGAGTATGGGTGTTGTATAGTGGGAAATGTACTTCAAATATTACTGATATCTCGCTGTTCAAGTTGCCTCCCTTTATATCACCCAAATCAAGTAAATAACCAAATAGGCTACTACCCAATATTATCAAATAAGAACCTAATAGCAGTGGCGGATTAAGCTCCACCAAGGCCTGAGGCGGCAGTTGCTGGAGGGCCTATTAGCCTCACTGATAATCCGCTACTGCCTAATAGTAATATTGTCATATAGCAGCAAATCAGTATGATTACCACAACAAATATTTTATAATTTGCAGATAATTGAAGTATGCCATGTCATGTCATTGCAGTTATCTCCCTTTGTATAAACATGTTTTTGAATGGGCTACTTGTTGGACTTTGCAATTGGGTGACCAAGAAGTCGAAGTTGAAATTGGAAAGACAAGTGTTCTGTGTATATTTTAATTATTATACATGTATATCATAAAATCAAAATTTGTTAACTAGTGTACCACTATTATAATACCAGATGGCCAAGAGTAAATAACTATTTAAACCCCTCCATGGGTCAAGCTACATGTACATGTATGGCAATAACAAAAAGTTACAGATGCCCTTGTTATAGTTTATTATACAATATTACACATACAATCAATAGGCCTACCATGTAACATGCCATAAAATAAAAAAAAGTTTTAAAATAAGTTGATAAAATTAACAAAGATTTTAAGGAGCTAATTTGCTAACATTTTGGACCTAGAAATTGACACAAATGGGTCGCAACACTGACATACATGTAATGTAATATGAATGTATATAAACGGATTTGCATTCAGTCGTTTTTGTTTTTCCTCTTAATTTCAAATCAGTTACGTTCAGCAAAATACACCAGAATGGAATGGCAATCTCTAGTGCCTGGTTATTCAGTCTACACCGTCACCGATGGTATTTATTGCACACGCAGCTGAATTATAGCATCAAACATTAACATCAAAAGTTATCTTCCAATCGGTATAAAATTTATATGCGTCATTTAGATAAGTAAAAAGATGAATCCTATAGAGTTATAGCCCTTGTCTCACTTTATTGTCACTCGCCTTTCGAAGAAAGCAAGGGGCTATTAAAATGAGTTCGTCAATCTGTCCGTCTGTCCGTCACACTTTTTCGGACACAATAACTCTCCTTCTAATTGAGGTAGAATGTTTAAACTTTGTCTAGGTATTTATTAGGTCAATGCCTTGATGGAGTTCGAAGATGAACATTTTCTGCTAAGGGTAAGCAGAGATAAGCAATTTGATTGGTTAATGCTTTGGGACACCATAACTTTAGTTCTGATTAAGTGAGAATGATGAAACTTGATGTATAGTTTCATTACATCAATACCTTGACTAAGTTCGATAATGAGCATTGCTGCTCAGGTTAAGCAAAGCGATAAGCAATTTGATTGGCCGAGACTTTGGAACACAATAACTCTTATTCTAATTGAGTTAGAATCTTCACACATGGTGAAGGTGTCTATTAGTAGTGAATGTCTTGATGGGGGTTGAAGATGAGAATTTTCTACTTAGGGTAACTAAAGATAAGCAATTTGATTGGTTGATGCTTTGGGACACGATAACTTTAGTTCTAATTAAGTGAGAGTGAGGACACTTGGTATAGATTTTTTTTACATCAATACCCTTGACTAAGTTCAATAATGAACATTTTTTGCTGAGGGTTTAAGCAGAGCGATAAGCAATTTGATTGGTCGAGACTTTGGAACACAATAACTCTCCTTCTAATTGAGGTAAAATGTTTAAACTTGGTTTAGACATTCATTAAGTGAATGCCTTGATGGAGTTCGATGATGAACATTGTCTGCTTACAGTAAGCAGAGATAAGCAATCTGATTGGTTGATGCTTTGAAGCACGATAACTTTGGTTATAATGAAGTCAGAGCGATGAAACGCCGAATATAGATTCATTATATCATTACCTTGACTAAGTTCTATGGTGAGAATTTTCTGCTTAGGCTAAGGAGCAATGAGCAATTTGATTTGTCAAGACTTTGGAACATAATAACTCTGCTTTTAATTGAGGTAGAATGTTTAAACTTGATGTACATGTAGATGTTCATTAAGTGAATGTCTTGACTGAGTTCAATGATTAACATTTCGAGCTAAAGCTAAGCAGAGCTAATCAGTTTCATTGATCGATGCTTTGGGACAAGATAATCTTGATTCTATCTGATACAGAGTGATGAAACTTAGTGTATAGTTTGATTGCTCGATACTTTTGAAAAAAAGTAAATGTGCGATTAATTAATATGTCATCTATTTATTTTGGGATTTAGGCGGGGGACATCGGCCTCACTGTTGGCTTGTTTTGTATCAGACTTTCCAATCCAAAGTTGTTCCCCTTTTCCTGAACATCTTTTCAACACAAAGTCTATTTACCAGATATATACTATTCAAAAAAAGTAGGGGATATTTGATTTTGGGGGCATAATACTAAAATATGCAAATGACTACGAAAAAAGTCACTATAGAACCTAACAGAAGAAACATTTCCAGTTACATGTGACGCCCAAACGCACCAATAGCTACCGCATGGAATGCAGGTGATGCTTGGGATCATCATGGGGGTCCAACCCAAGATTTGCACGACTCTGACTTTGAATGTTACAGTCATTGTGGCATTGAATTCCAGGGTGGAAACATCAGTTTAATTGTTTTAGTGACCAGAAAACAAATTTTGATATGCGTCGGCTTACCCAAAATGAAAGGTTACGTGCCCTTGGCATGCTACAGATCGGCACAACACAGGCGGTTGTGGCGCGGACGATGAATGTTTCTCAGTCTGTCATAAGCAGGCTATGGTCCAGATACCGTGATACACAATCTGTACAGGACAGACCACGCTCAGGTCGACCAAGGGCGACAACTCAAGCCCAGGATCGATTTATCCGTACCTTGGCCTTGAGAAATCGTGTCATCACAGCAAATCAGATCAGCGCTCGTCTTCAAACAGACACTGGTGTGAGAGTGAGTGGCCAGACGATTCGGAATCGACTGCATAGGGGTCACCTTCGCGCCCGACGTCCTCGCGTGATCCCTTGTTTGAGAGATCATCACATTCAGGCAAGACGGCGTTGGTGTAGGGATCGTCAACACTGGGATAATCGACGCTGGAGCAATGTGATGTTTTCAGATGAGTCAAGGTTCACTGTTGATTTTTTGGACAGACGTAGGAGGGTGTGGCGTCGTCGAAACGAGCGCTTCCAAGACGTTAACGTCATCAGACATGATCGATTTGGGGGTGGTTCTGTTATGGTGTGGGGAGGCATCACTGCTGCTGGAAGAACGGCTTTACATGTTGTTGCAGGGCGTGTTACAGGCCAGTACTAACGGGACAACATCTTGGCAGTCCATGTTGTGCCGTTCGCACGACGTCATGGCCGCCGTTTCATCTTCCAGGATGACAACGCAAGATGTCACAGGGCCAGGATCGTTACAGGTTACCTCCAACAACAGAACATCACCACATTACCTTGGCCAGCACTGAGTCTCGACCTCTCCCCCATCGAGCATGTCTGGGACATGCTTGGACAGAGGTTACGTCAACGTCAACAACGTCCTGCCAATGTCCAAGAACTTGCTGCTGCGTTGCAACAGGAATGGGACAATCTGGACCAAAATGACCTTAGACGTCTCATTAGGAGTATGCCACGTCGGATCAATGCTTGTTTGGCAAACAGAGGAGGATTTACCCGTTACTGACTTGGTTGTGATGCTGTGGTAACTTTGCTGTTTGACCCCGGGTATCATTTTACCCTTATAATGGTCAGTCTGTGCCTTACTTAGTCTAACGATCATTTGGAATAAATCGATGAATGTGAACTTCATTTCATTTTGTCATTTGTTTCTTCGTCAGTTTCATTAGGTGACTTTAATAACACTTAAAAATCAAATATCCCCTACTTTTTTTGAATAGTATATTTCAAGTTTAGTTTGACTTATCAGTAGTCAGCAATCTGTGACATTCCTTTCCGAAATTAACCTCCTTTCTCCAATGTGGTTGAAATTTATATTCTCATGTACATGTAAATTAGTGAAACAGAGAAGTCTATTTAGTTTTTTACTTTGTTGAACCTTGTGAATTGGCTGCTGTGGCATATGTTTCATTGTCTGGCAACATATCTTTATTCTTTTTAGGTACTGGTAGATGTACGTGTGTATAAGTTAATTGAAAATTATCATTATAGTGAATAAAATTAAAAGTGGCATCACAATAAATGTGATTTATATTTGTTGGGATGAGTTGTCTCATGTCGCGACCCATGATTTAAAGTTGGAATGAGTTGTCTTTTATCTTGGGATGAGCTGTCTTTTAACTTGGGATGAGATGTAAATTGACTTTGTTTTAAAAGACAGCACTGATGTTATAAACTGTCGTCTCCATGATGGTTACCTACTGAATGATGTCATAATAATATAATGTCAAAGTCCAAGCAACAATAAGGATGGGGGATCACGTGGCTAAGTGGGTAAGACGCTAGCTCGCTAGTCTGGAGGTCGGGTGTTCGATCCCTGCATTGGCCAAGAAAGTTCATCCAGATTTTCCGGCGTGGTTCTCCCTTGTCAGTGACGCGGGACGGAGGGGCTGACAAGGAAAGCTGTCTAGTCGTTCGGATGGTACGAAAAACCGAGGTCCCGTGTACACATTGGCGTGCACGTAAAAGATCCCTTGGCAGTTGGAATTCGATATAAGAGTAGGCCGTAGTGTCTCAAATACTGATGTTGAAATTGTAATTAATCTTTTCTTTTTCTTTCAATAGGTTAAAATGCAGGAGGAAGATCAAGTCTTGCATGTATGTGTACAGCAGGAAGAGACAAAATGTTATCTCTGTCCATTTTGTAGCCAGTCTTTTCAAGAACGCTATTTGTTGGATGTCCATACAACCTCAAAGCATGATTACGATCACGAGAATCATACCTGTAGTTTTTGTGCCAAGTCATTTGGAAGTGCTCGAAGTTATGAGAGACATGTGAAAGTATGCAATCTTCTTCAAAATGCAACAAAAACGATATTTAAATGTGACGTCTGCACCATGGAATTTGCTCAAAATAGCGAGTTGCAGAAGCACGTCCTTGTTGATCATTCAGGAGTAGATCAAAATATGTGTGGAACTTGTGGCAAATCTTTCATTGATGAGGAAAGTCTAATGACTCATCTTCAAACACACAGAGATTCAGCTCCTACTGAAGAACACAGTGAACCAACTTCCTTTAGTTGCCAAAGGTGCAAAGAAACATTCAAAAAAGCAGAGGAGTTAAGGGAACATGTCAAAACACATGGATCTGAAAAGCTTGTTTCTTTTCATTGTCCGACTTGTAACAAATCCTTCTTGAATACAAACACTTTTCAGTTGCACATTCAGTCTCATGAGAAACCTCAAGTTGGGTTTAATTGTGACATTTGCAAAAAAGTGTTTAAAACGGACAATAAATTGCAAAAACATAAAGTGTTACACAAGGAGGGAAACAGTTCTCTTTCCTGTCAATTCTGCTCAGAGAACTTCACAAGTTTAAAAGAGTTCTCAAAGCATAGAAAAACTCACACCATGTGTCCCGTTTGTGGAAAGGCATTTTCAAAATATGAAAATCTGTTGAGCCATATTAGAATTCACACTGGGGAAAAACCCTACTTGTGTCAAGTCTGTGGGAGATCATTCAATCACTCGGCAAATCAAAAACGGCACATTCTGACACACACTGATTATAAACCTTACAAATGTGAGAAATGTGAGGAAGCGTTTTCTCTAAAAAGCGACCTTAATAACCACATAAAACTCCATACAGGAGAGAAACCATTTCAGTGTAAAATTTGTCAGAAAGCCTTCAGTCAAAAGGGTGATCTTCAACTGCATTCTGAGGTACATAACACTCAGTCTTACTCTTTTGTATGGAAGACATGTTAGTTTTTGTTAAGACAAGTTCAATCTCGTTGATTTCCATAATGAACATGTTGATTTTTTTATATTGGTCCAGTTCTGGTGTCCTACAAAGAAGTGGCATTCTAGCTAGAATTTGTTTTAATTTATTTTTTAAAAAACTTTTTGTGAAAATACAATAAATGAATTGTATTTATTGGTAATTGTTGGTCTGCACTTGTATATGAAGAACTCTTTTCAATATTGATTGAGATTATATGTAGCACAATTCTGAATTCCCCTTTTTAGAAACAGGGAGTCTGGGTGGTCTAGTGGTTTGAAATTATAAGGTCCGTCATTGAGTCAAGTGGTGTGGTTTTGAATCTCCGCTAGGCTAGTACGTGACAAGGAGTAGGGTTGCCAGTCCAACCTTGTGGGTTATCTTCCACTTCTAAAGACTTCATAGCTAAGCGAATTATTGAAATAAAATTGAACTGTATGTTAGTCCCGAAATGACCTAGTTTGTGTCGAGTGGATGTTAAACCCCATTTCTCTCTTTTTTAGAATCATTCATGATTTATTAAAATCTGTCACAGAATGACCAAACATCTATTTGATATAACAAATGAAATATTGATTTGAATTGAAGACATTGATAAGTTTAAACATCTTCGTTTTCCTTATGGTTTTATCACAGAAAACTGCCCTATTTCATCAAAAATTGAAATATACAGGTCACAATTCTATGGAATACAATTACTGCTTTTAACTGAGCGACGTTTCGACTAGGCTTCTCTAGTCATTATCAAGCTATGATAAAAAATGAAAATATGACAGGACAATATATACATGTACACCACAATGCTAAGTTAATGATGACAAACCAGGGATGTAACTTAATTACGTGTACCTAATGGTAATCTGATTTAATTGTACGCTAATAAGTAATAATACCAATTAACCTAAAAAATTGACTAATTGATTAATGGATAAGTTGTTGTGGAGTATACACAGTGATTAGTGGGTTTTAATAATACAAACGTTGCAAGAAAATGAAAATTGATGAAATGTTATCAACGACCCCTTTCACTGAAATAAATACAAATGGTAAAAGAATAGATTGTTGTGGAGTATTTACAACGATTTGATGAGGTTTTGATAATGACAACATCCCACGAAGATGAGATTTGATTTGTGTTATAACCAAAATAATTGATATGTGGATGTTGATGCGAGTGATTACACTGATATACGAAAAACCCTTAGAACAATGACTGCACAATGATCAATAGTCCCCTGAAGGTTGACAATTTAAAATATTGAGTGGTACTTCACTGGATGTTATGGTGATGTAGAAAAGCAGGGTTAGAAATATTGAGTGCATTAAATTACAATAACCGCAGGCCTGAAAAGCAGAAATGCCTGAAAAGCAAAAATAGTTGGGAATTATTAGTTGTCATTTTTGCATATTATGATGGTTATTACAAACTTAAAGTTATTACTGGAATATTGATAAGTATTAAATATGATAAAAAAGAAAAAAGTAGAATTATGCTTAGCCTTGATTATGTGATAAGAATATCATACGCCCTGGGGAGGAACAATCCTTGATCTCTGTTCATCGTTGGTTTGTGTCGTCGTATATGAATGGCTTCATGTAATCGGCGCGCTCTCTTGTTGCTTATATTCTTGCATAGTGGTTTTACGTTGGACCATTGGACTCTGTGGCGAGGGTTGGAGTTCAAATGTTCAGCTACAGCTGAGTTGTTGGTTGCTGCTTTCGACTTGTGGTCATCTATCCTTTTATTTAATGGTCGCTTTGTCTCCCCGATGTATGCAATCCCACAATTGCATACTATTTGATAAACACATCTCTTTGGTTGTGGTGGTTGTGTAGGATTTTGTTTACCATTGGCTCTTAATATATCTTTAGTGCTGTAGCTTTTTGTGAAAGTTACATCTATTTCTGGTTGTTGCATTAGTAGCCGTTTGATTTGGTAGGAGACTTTGCCGTTGAAAGGAAGGAAGATTCTGACTGGGGCAGTCGGGGTTTTTGGTTTAGCTGCACTCGCCGACAGGGTCTTGTTGATGGCGTTTGTCACAAACTTCCCTGGATAGCCGTTGAAATTTGTGAAGACAAAGCGACCATTAAATAAAAGGATAGATGACCACAAGTCGAAAGCAGCAACCAACAACTCAGCTGTAGCTGAACATTTGAACTCCAACCCTCGCCACAGAGTCCAATGGTCCAACGTAAAACCACTATGCAAGAATATAAGCAACAAGAGAGCGCGCCGATTACATGAAGCCATTCATATACGACGACACAAACCAACGATGAACAGAGATCAAGGATTGTTCCTCCCCAGGGCGTATGATATTCTTATCACATAATCAAGGCTAAGCATAATTCTACTTTTTTCTTTTTTATCATATTTAATACTTATCAATATTCCAGTAATAACTTTAAGTTTGTAATAACCATCATAATATGCAAAAATGACAACTAATAATTCCCAACTATTTTTGCTTTTCAGGCATTTCTGCTTTTCAGGCCTGCGGTTATTGTAATTTAATGCACTCAATATTTCTAACCCTGCTTTTCTACATCACCATAACATCCAGTGAAGTACCACTCAATATTTTAAATTGTCAACCTTAAGGGGACTATTGATCATTGTGCAGTCATTGTTCTAAGGGTTTTTCGTATATCAGTGTAATCACTCGCATCAACATCCACATATCAATTATTTTGGTTATAACACAAATCAAATCTCATCTTCGTGGGATGTTGTCATTATCAAAACCTCATCAAATCGTTGTAAATACTCCACAACAATCTATTCTTTTACCATTTGTATTTATTTCAGTGAAAGGGGTCGTTGATAACATTTCATCAATTTTCATTTTCTTGCAACGTTTGTATTATTAAAACCCACTAATCACTGTGTATACTCCACAACAACTTATCCATTAATCAATTAGTCAATTTTTTAGGTTAATTGGTATTATTACTTATTAGCGTACAATTAAATCAGATTACCATTAGGTACACGTAATTAAGTTACATCCCTGGTTTGTCATCATTAACTTAGCATTGTGGTGTACATGTATATATTGTCCTGTCATATTTTCATTTTTTATCATAGCTTGATAATGACTAGAGAAGCCTAGTCGAAACGTCGCTCAGTAAAAAGCAGTAATTGTATTCCATAGAATTGTGACCTGTATACTCTAGTTCAATTACTAAATGCCATTGAAACAGTTCAAAAATTGAAAATGAATTAAGATGTTTACGAAAAGGGTTGCAGGCATGGCACCAACAAGTAGAGGGATTCAAGGAGCCTGGCACAACTTTATTTTTATATGCCCACATTTTCACTTGGACATATTATGCCGTCGCCCCTGTCCGTCCGTCCGTGTTTGTGGACACTCTACAGGTCACAGTTTTTATCTGATTTTGACGAAACTTGAAATGTAGGTCTATCTCCTAAAGATCTCGGTTAATTATCGCCCCTGATTGTACGAAAAATCACGTTTTCGCTTGTTGACTCTCTAGAGGTCATAATTTTCGTCTGATTTAGTTAAAACTTGATATGCATGATTATAGCCCAAAGAACTTGATTCCTTTCGATATTCGCGCAGTTCGGATCATAACTTCCTGATCGTATAGCCCTGATTGTACGAAAAATCGCAATTTTAGCTTGTGGTCCCTCTAGAAGTCACAATTATTATCCAATTTAAAAACCACTTGAATATACATGTATCACCGTAATGTCGATTGAGTTCGAATTTTGTGAAAATCAAACAAAAACTGCCGAACAAAATGGTCGCCATACGTACGCAAATAAGTTTTAAAAACATGGTATATCAAGGTTGTAGACCCTCTAGAGGTCACAACTGTGATCCGATTCTATAACCCAAAAATCTTAGTCCCTTTCAATATTCGCGCATATCGGATCGTAAGATTCTGAATTAAGGCCCTTGATTGTACGCAAAAATCGCGTTTTTAGCTTGTGGTTCCTCTAGAGGTCACAATTTAAAAAAAAAAAATGTTTGAATATATCACCAGTACATCCTTATGATGATTAAAAATCGGATTTAAACTACTAAACATAATGGCGACTCTTCGTATGCAAATAAATAGTGTAAAAATATGGTATATCAAGGTTGTGGACTCAATTTTGATCCGATTTTGATGAAACTTGATGTTTGTAACACAAAGATCTTTGCGCCTTTCGATATTCGCGCATAGGCCACAGATCACTAAAGATTTCCCCATTGACTTTAATGTTAATTCTCGTCTCTTAGACCGCCTCTAACTTTTCCCCAAATTTCCGTTGGGTAGAATGCTTTCTGCCACAGATGGAGCAACATGTGGCAAACTCTTGCCTAAAAGCATGTATGAGATTCACCATGAAAAACTTAAGATACACAATGTGGTTGTTTATTGTTGTCACCCCGTCCGTCCGTCTGTCGGTCCGTCTTCATTAGCCCAGTATAGGAGCAGAACAGTAGGACGTTAAACCCCATTTCATTTCCGTCTGTCGGTCAGGTGGACACTCTAAAGGCTAAAGTTAATATCCGGTCGACTTTAAAAATATATACACGTACACTGTTTAAGGTCATGAGATGAAGAAACCTAGTGATTTCCGATAATTATTTCCAGAGTTATGGCCCTTGATCACTTAGAAAAAATTGTGGATACTGTTTAGAGACCATAGTTATCATCTGGTTGACTTTAAATTTATACACAGTGTTTAAGGTCATGAGACATTGATTTTCAACAATTTCAGATAATTACTGCCAGGGTTCTGGGCCTTGATCACTTTGAAAAACCTTGTGGGTGGTTTTTAGAGAGCATAGTTATCTGATTGATTTTATATATATACACTGTATATATAATCGTTTCAATTGACTTTAAGTTGATACACAGAGAAAAGGTCTTGAAACAAACAAGTATGTTGATTTTCTATGATTTTTTGCAGCTTGAACAGCTAAATCCATGATATTACATGTAAGTGTTTTGTATACTAAATGTTAGCATGGGCCAAACAAATTCAAATGATTTTCTGAAAATGACTTAATGAGTTGTTACTCTTAATCAGATTTTAGTGTATTATAAATATTTCATTACCGACAAAAGTAAAAAAAACTCTTGTTGACTTCCTGGACAATTTAGTTGCTGTGGGCGTATGTTTCCTTGCTTGGCAGCTTA